TGAAGATTTTATATATATTTTTTTCTTTTCTTCTCTTTTTTTCCAAAAATAAAATAAAATAAAAATAAAGAAATAAACATTTCAAAATAAAAGCTATTATTATAATTTTTTTTATTTTTTTTAATTTTTTTGGTTATGACGAAGTGGTGGATTAGTTTTTGAAGATTGCTCCTTTCTTTTCATATAGCAAAACTAATGATGCAACACACATTATTGATCTTTATTTTCAAGTGGTAATATTGCATCACATTGCAATGATAATCAATTTAAACAGATATATGAAGTTTTATGAGTCACTTTTTAGAGGCCTTTATGGCACAAGATGGGTATTAAACTTCAATTCAATTATGTAGCTTATTGACATATAAATGACAAACTAAAGTCGTGAATACAAGTTTAGGCAATCTATTGAGAGGCTTTAGAGGGAAGAACATTGCGCAATGGGACTTGATTCTTGTGTAAGCTGAATGTTCTTATTATTAGTCACCTAGTCAAATAGCAAGTAAGAGTCCTTTTGAAGTCGTGTATGGAAAAAATTACTCTAATCGAGCTTACTCCAAAGCTAACTTTCACTAATTTTAGTGTTGATGCTAGGAAGAGGGCTAAGGAGATTAAAAGGCTACATGAGCAAGTTCAAGAGAGAATTACTAAGCAGAATAAGAAGTATAAAAAACAACCTAATAAATTCAAGAGGCCCATGACTTTCAAGGAAAAAGACTTAGTTTGGATTAACTCAAGGAAAGAAAGGTTTCCTAAGTGGTCTATAAGCAAAGCTTAAGCCAAGAATAAAAGATCCTTTTCGAGTCGTGAAGGAAGTTGATGAGAATATTTACAAGATTGAGCTTGTTAGACACTATAATGTTTTGGTTAATATTCAACCATACCATGATGAAGAAGAAAGTCAAGACATCGAGGATGATTCTTCATCGATCTAAGCAGAGCTTAACGCAAGAGTGTTGCACATGCCTTATAAGGATGAATGTTCAAACCTAAATTTGGAATGAATTATTTTAGCTTAGTTATTTTTTATTATGTTTTTATTAGGTGTTTTATTTTTTCTTAGATTCATAAAGATTCTATTTCGTTTGGATTTTGTTTTAGTCCTTATTTGTTTTAGATTTGGGCCAAATATGTTCTTGTTTGTTTAGGTTAGGTTTTTTATGAGAATCTAAATGCTAAAGAAGTCTTTCGTGGGCTTGAGCTTGAGGAGGACGAATCATTGACCATTCCAATGGGTCCAATCATAAAGGCTAGGGCAAGAGGATTTATGAAACCTTAATTGGGCTTATTCAATATAAATGGGCCAAACTCATTATCCAATGGCATGAAGACCATCATATGGGCTTAGTATATTTTATTAATCCATTGGGCTAGACATACCGGACTTGAAGTCCAATCTCCATGAAGCCAAAGTTGATCCATGTTTTCTTGATGTTTTGGGTAAGGAATAGCATTGCGCATACCACCAAATTGATCTCGCTTCAAATTAAAAAATTACACCCATTTTCAAGTTAGATGTGTATCAAGTTTTGGACCTCACTTATGGTTGCTAAATTCAAAGTATTTCCGCAACTTCAAGGAAGACTTAATAAATGCTTAGTTATTGTTCTAATTATATTGTTTGTTGAATCCTATGTAGAGTTTAATTCTCTGTCTTTCTAAATTTTCTAGCATCTTATTTAGGGAAAACATTCTGTAATTTTCAAATACATAACTTTTGAATCAAACCAATATTTTATGAAAAATTCACACCTATGTTCTTTTCAAAACTAATTCAGAACTTATCGTGAATCTAATCGATCCTTGTGATGTTTCAGTGACTTATCACTTCCTTTCTAACTAATCTGGAGTGTGGCATCCATACTCTTCTTGAATCTAACCTGGTTTTCTTGAGGTACAATCATCTTGATTGTGAGTTTTCTAGCCATCGAGCTAGGTGGGTTTGGATTAATTTTGCTACACATTTGTGTGCTCTAAAGGTCAACTTTATGCCTTTAAATTTAAGCACCCTTGTGTATTATAGATAGACATAATATTTTGATTATTGAAAAAATTTTGTGAAAAGTTTCTCTCAATTTGTGTGACTCATGTGATTATCTTTGAGTTTGTGTCTTTGTATCCTTAAATTGATCTCTCAAAATTGTGCTATTAATCATTATCGACTAAATTTGTAATGTGGTTCTAAACCTTTCCACAATCGATTGAAGATAAGGTTACTTTTGTTAATTGGTTTTTGACTTTTACCTAAATTAGAGTTTGATTGTTTTGCCTTACTCAAATCATCATGAGACTAATGTTAAAAACTATCGAAATAAGAATTCTGTTCCTAATTAGTCTAGGTTAGCTTTCAAGTTTACTTGGCCATTAAGTTTAGTATTCTCTACAAATAGAGAATCACTCTCATTGTAATTTTTAGGAGCTACATGCTTTCACAAGCTTTTTAATACACTTATCTTCTTCTTTTTTTTTTCCTTAATTTATCTTTCAAGTCCTTTAAAGCTTTAAGCTTTATCATTTACTTATTGTTTTCGTTACATTTTTTTGTACCATTTTTTTTTTAGCGTAACTACTAGTTCATTTGGAATTTTTTTTCTATAAAAAAAAATTCATAGTTTATTAGTTATTTCTATCTTAAAAACATACTCTTTTATTTGATTTAAACCTTTAAGTTTACTTGAATTTTCCTAAAACATTAATATCTTAATGGATCTTTTTAGATCTTAACTATTTTTACTTTGATCATATATCAAAGAAATTTTCACTCAATTTTGATTGTGAGATAATTTTATTTCTTTACTAGTTCAGTCCTAAATATTGTATCCGAATGTTCCAAGCAAAGGAAAATTAATTGGTAACAGGAAGTTTAAAAGCTCATAGACAAAGTTCGTGATCTACCATTGTCATCCTATATCATTGTTTTTATCAGCTTAACTTGAAAATGTCAATTGCCTATATTTACATATCCGTCAGAATATGAAAGTACTCTATTCATCTTTTCATCCATGACTAGGAAGGGATTTTTTCTTTTTGTTCATCTCCCTTTCCCCCATCCGGCGTATTTAAAAGATGTCTGTATCAGTTTACAAGTACAATGAGATAAGAAAATCAAATAGTCCAAATTCTTGAGGACCGCCAACATCACGATCTTTTGACCGCTTTCTTGCTAGTAGTTTTCTACAATATTGATGAGGATACGGCAGTGCTTCCCTGTCAACATCGTATTTACTTTATTTTTTTTATATAGATTTTCAATGTAATAAATTATAAATTAATATTTTTAGTTTTTAAAAACAATTAATTAGTTTTTTAAAGATTAATTATTTGGTTATTTGACTAGTATTGAGTATGCTTAATTTAATATTATTTTAATTTAAAAATATTTTTTATCAATTTGTCAATAATATCTATTTATTTTTTATTTTTTAAAATAAAAAATAAACAAAGAACGTAGAATGAAAAAAAAAACTAAATAATTATTTCTTTAAATAAAAACGGATTGACTTCTTTTGTCAAAATTAAATAATCTCATTTATAATTCACTTCTTTTCAGAGATCCATGTTAGCTTGAACATACATATTATAATTACATGTATAGTTAATCATTCATTAAACGCGGTGGGGTTTTTGATATTGAAATGTTTCACTAAATAAAAAAAGAATCTTGTGAGTGAGTTGTTTTAGTAATTGAATTCTTTACCATTTTTGATGAACACAATAAGCCTCACATGAGGAAGTTTTTGATATTGAAATGTTATTTTATTTTATTTTACAAATGAAAAATGAAAAATTGCAACTGATTAGTAGATGATTAGGATGATATTTTGCATGTCGGATAATGACATTTTAAATTAATTAGGGTTTCATTTGTGAGATCTAGATATATTACTCTAGAATATTTACTTTGTATGAAAGATAAATATATAAACAAATAATAATAAGAGAGGAGAAATTAAAAAAAATTGAGTTTAGATAAAAATATTTTTCTTATTTTTATAAAATCAAATGTAATTTTTATACGTATATTTATCTTTCTTTTACAAAAATACAACATAATTACTGTAAATATTTTAATCATTTAATTTTCATATGATATTTTAATAATATATTTATGTCAATGTTATGTCAACGATGAATAGGCACAAAAGGTTATTTTTATATGAAAGATAAATATATAAAATAATGATAATAAAATAGGAGAAATTAAAAAAAATTGAGTTTAGATAAAAATATAAATTTGTTATTTTTGTAAAATCAAATGTAATTTTTATATGTATATTTATCTTCCTTTTACACAAATACACCATAATTATTGTAAATATTTTAATTATATCATTTTTCATATGATATTTTAATAATATATTTATGTCAATGTTACATCAGCGATGAATAGTCGTATAAAGGTTATTTTTTATATGAAAGATAAAGATATAAAAAATAATAATAAGAGAGGAGAAATTAAAAAAAAATTGAGTTTAGATAAAAATATTTTTGTTATTTTTATAAAATCAAATATAATTTTTATATGTATATTTATCTTTCTTTTACAAAAATACACTCGTAATTATTATAAATATTTTAATTATTTAATTTTCATATGATATTTTAATAATATATTTAATTTTCACATGATATTTTAACAATATATTTGTGTCAACGTAATTATTGTAAAAATTTCTTAGTTTTCTCGGGTAACTAGGTGGCAATTCCTTCTGGGGCACCGCTTGGTGGCCCCGTCAACACGGATGATATTTTAACAATATATTTGTGTCAGTGTCATGTCAGTGACGAATGGCCACAGAAGTTTTATTATGGTCATATTTTCAACACGTCAGAAAAGAAAACAAAGTCGCACCATTGAAAGCAAAAAAATCAGCGTTCTATGAAATCCACTCCTGTAGCTTCCGCTTAATTTTTGGGATAAAATCTGAATTTGGTCACCCAAGAGTGGTTATGACCTTATCTGTGTGCCAACGTACTCAATACAATTCTAAATTATGAAAATGCTAGAGCTCCCGGAAATTCTATTGCATCCATACTCTCTAATTGCATTCCTTCTTTTTATTTTTGTTACCAGACGGTTCTTCTTCAATTCTACAAGGAATAAAAACTTACCACCTTCACCAACAAAGATTCCTGTTGTAGGCAATCTCCTTCAGCTAGGCTTGTACCCACATCCATCTCTACAATCTTTGGCTAAACGCTATGGTCCACTCATGCTCTTGCACCTTGGCAGCACGCCTGCACTTGTGGTCTCGTCTGCTGATGGAGCTCGAGAGATCATGAGAACTCATGATCTCGTATTTTCCAATAGGCCTGATTTAAGCATTGGAAGAAGACTTTTGTATGACTACAAAGACTTGTCCTTGGCCCCCTATGGCGAGTACTGGAGGCAAATGAGGGGTATATGTGTCCTGCAGCTTCTTACTGCAAAAAGGGTTCGGTTATTCCAATCCGTCAGAGAAGAGGAGACAGATTTGCTCGTACAAACCGTCGAGAACTTTTCTTCAAGTTCATTACCCGTTGATCTAAGCGAACTACTTTCTGCATTAACAAATGATGTGGTATGCAGGATTAGTTTGGGCAAGAAGTACAGACAAGGGGATGGCGCGAGAAAATTCAAGAAACTATTGGAAGAGTTTGGTGCAGTATTGGGCGTTTTCAATGTTGGAGATTTCATTCCATGGCTAGGTTGGATAAATTACCTGACAGGTTTGAATGCTAGAGTGGAACGGGTTTTTAAAGAATTTGATAGCTTTCTTGATGAAGTTGTGGATGAATCTGAAGCAAAAAGGGTAGGTGGGAATGAGGATAAAATGAACTTTATGGATGTTCTGCTTGAGATCCAAAAGAACCGCACAGATGGTATTTCTATAGGCAGAGATAGCATAAAAGCCATCATTCTGGTAAGAAAACTGACCTGCCTAATTTGAATGTATCTTTCATTCTGCTATGTTAATGTTAGTTCAAATTTTCGTTCTACATGCAAAGGGATATCTCTCTTATATTGTTTTCCATCAGTAAGGGAAACAGTAAGTTCAATAAGTTAGGATGTCTGACCTATTGAAACCCTCTCGTAGGATATGTTTGCTGCAGGAACTGATACAACACTTACTGCCTTAGAATGGACAATGACAGAGTTGATAAAACACCCCAAAGTCATGAAGAAAGCACAGGATGAAATTAGAAGGATCACTGGACGCAAACATAGTGTAACAGAAGATGATTTAGGAAAAATGCTATACTTGAAAGCAGTTATCAAGGAATCTCTTCGTTTACACCCTCCAATTCCATTGCTTATGCCGCGAGAATCAACCGAGGATGTCAAAGTTCAGGGCTATGATATTTTAGCGAAAACAAGAGTAATCGTCAATGCTTGGGCAATTGGGAGAGATCCTTCATCGTGGGAAGAACCAGAGGAATTTAGACCAGAGAGGTTCTTGGATAGTGCTATAGATTTCAAAGGAAATGACTTCCAATTGATTCCTTTCGGAGCTGGAAGACGAGGCTGTCCAGGAATAACATTTGCTTCTGCCCTGATTGAGATTACGTTGGCAAGTCTTTTGCATAGGTTCGATTGGGCATTGCCTGGTGGAGCAAAACCAGAGGACATAGATGTAACAGAAGCTCCTGGACTAGCGATCCATAGGAAATTCCCACTTGTTGCTTTTGCAACTCCTCACTCTTTCTAGAGGGTAGAAGTCCTACTGTTACCGTTGTGCTTCATCGGTGTCCAAATATTCTACTTTCAACAGGAATAATTGTAGTTTTGATCTTCATGTCCATTACCGATAAGGATCTCAAAATAATATCGTCTCTTTTTCTGTAATAGAACAGAACTTGTTCTCCCAACGGTGAATTATGTTTTCCGATGACCTTATAATATTCAATCAGATGCACTGAAAAAGTTAACCCCAAAACGCGTCCATTTTTTGCTTTCAAGATTAATCCTCTCTATTTCATCCGCTGAAGACTCTGTACAAGAATAGCCAAGTTAATATCGCCAATGGGGCTGCCTCATCGAAAAGACAAGAAAGTGTAGATACACGAGAAGGCTACAAAAGAACCTAACCATTTTGACATTTAACGTGCTTAGGCTTGATTCATTTGGATTTTTTTTTCTTTGTTCAACATCTAGTGCAGTGGCTCCGCCATCCAAATCCCAACCACTTTATTCAAGTTCCAATATGAGATGCATTTTAAGAGCACATGGTACATCAACTCTGCATACATGGGAGGATTTGTTTCGATCTTACTTACAAAACTCGAACTTAAATTTCAGTCACATCACTTCCTATATAGAGCTGCGTCTGTGCTTAATTTCAATCAAGGGGAAAGATCCACTCATGGCTAGTCTACAATCGCTGAAAGAATGCCCCAAACCTACCTTGTTCTTTGTAACCATTTTCGTCGGAGTAGTGCTCGAGTTTCTTATGAAAGAGAAGCTTAAGAAAAGAACGCTCAATCTTCCACCAACCCCTGCAAAGTGGCTAATCATTGGCAATCTTAACCAGCTTGGTAACATGCTTCACATATCTCTCCGAGGAATTGCCAATCATATTTTTACAACTTGGGGAGATCCCAACTGTAGTGATTTCATCAGTTAGATTGGCAAAGGAAGTCCTCAAAACCCATGATCTTGTACTCTCTAGCCGTCCTCAGCTCTTCTTAAGGTGTACATCTAGTGATCTTTATTTCAAATTTATCAAATAAGCACTGTCAGTCGTTCTCTCTCTCCTACCCGTCTCTTTCTCTTCTTCGTTATCAACCAAAGTGTCTATCTCCTAATCATCAAGTAAATGGACATTGAAATGAGACCTCATTTTATTAAAGTAACTGTATAATTGTTCATTGGTTGCGATTTCTCCAAAGCTGAATCATCCCTTGAAGCTTTGAAACGGGCGCATCAGGTGATGTTTCAACATCTCAAGACGAACTACTTGTATTATTTGAAAGGAGGGAATTATTGTAAGAGAATGAAATCATTACTTGTGGAGTTTCTTGTGTGGGTTGGTCGAGGCTATGTATTTGAACAGGAAATTTCTTATGGGCTTTAAGTATATGCTTGATAGGTAGCTATAATCTGGGTGGGAAGGATCAGGTAGTTATCTTTACTCGGGTAGGATCAGGAAGGAAATGGGATCACGCCCATAAGAAGAAAGTTCTGGTTAAGAAGGTTGTGACTCGTAAGATGAAACCAATGCAACTAAGGAAAGATAAGAGCACAATCATATAGAGGCAGTTTGATGGACATGAGCAGTTCTAATCCTCGTCCTCCTGGCATTAATACTAGAATGCAAACTACCCGCATTTACAAATAATGATTCTCACCAATTCCAAACTTAAACATTCTAAAATCCCTATATATATACTTCATCCTTGACTTCTCTTACTTAGTCCTAAACCTCCATGACACATCACACTCATCCTGCTTCGATCCATATTAACTAGAGTTTGATAATCCAAAAATACAATCGACTTAAACAGCCTCTAGTTGAACTTCTCAACCGTAATTAATATCCAAGGATCTGAACAATGTAGAAATTAGGGATTTTTAGATTTTGGTATTTTAGAAATTTAGATTTTCTTTTAATACAGAGAAAATAGAGAGAACGAGTTGAGAACAAACATGATTTGGGTTTGGGATGATGAGAATTTAGTGATTTAGGGATTTTGAGGTTTTGGGATTTAAGAATTGCAATTTCTCAACGGGCGAGAACATGGGAATGACGAAGAGTATAGTTGTTTTATGACTCAAATCAACAAATTTACTCGATAAAAGGGGCGAGGACATTTTTTTTTCTTTTCTCATCATTTTTTATATATTAATGGTTAGTTTTAAAATTTGCAATAGTTAGGACCCACTATGCCATGTGTCTTTGTCTGATTTGTTAATACTAATTTTAACATATTACATCGAATTAACAATTAATGGAGGATTCGAATCAATAAATTTATAAGAATCTTGATAAATTTGCAATGAAGGTTTCAATCAAGTCGAAAAACTAGAATCTTGATAAAAAAAAATAATCGAACAATACAAGGACCAAATGTAGGGTAAACCCAAAATTTCATATATGACCTAATATTGTCTAAATGATATGATTGTCAAAGTTTTAAATTAATAAAAAATCTATAAACTTTTATTCAAGCTTAAGGTCGAAAGTTTTAATTACGAAATATCCAACAATTTTAATTTTCAATCAGAGCTAAACAATTACATAAATAATACAAGTTTCAATTAATCTCCCTTGAAATAGAGTTCTCCAAGCCCAAAAGAAATCAATAAATTTATGAGATACGTTCACTAAGAGTCCACCTTATATAATTATTAATCAAGAATCCACCTTAGTCGATCACTTTAACGATTTACTTCACAAAAAATCCAAGCAAAGAAACATGCAAAAAATTCAAAAAAAAAAAATCTCTAATTTTATTTAATAATATTTGGCAAAAACACATCGATAAAAAGCAATTAAGAGTTTCTTAAATAGACACACACACACACACACACACACATTCGGTTAGGGCTAAATTCCTCCATAGGTCGAACTTTTGATTAAAAGACTTTGACTTATTGACATAGCACGGAAGCAAAGTAAACAACGCAATTTCAAAACCCGTAATTGCAAAATTTGATTTCAAGAGAATCAAGTTTTATTGAATGAAAAATACTAAAAAAGAAGTGCCTAATAACATCATCAAAACCAATTATTTATAGTCTTCGACATGCCACTAAAAATCGGGAAATAAAATAGTTATTCTACCCAAGATAGAAATCCTAAACAAAATAGAAGTCTAAGACAAAATAAAAGTCACGCTAATTTGAGGCAAAGAACTCTGCTATTTTGATGCCCCATCATCCTCCTCCACTTGCAAAGAAGTCGCCTTCGAGTTCTTATCGGTATAACCTAGTCCACAATCATGTAAATATGGTGAAAGATCTGCAACATTAAATGTAGAAGAAATATTACCCATCCATAATGGTAGCTCAACAACATAGGCATTGTCATTAATTTTCTTTTTAATCTTGAATGGGCCATATCGCTTCTACCGTAGCTTATGATCGCCCCCAACAATTATAGGAATGGGCCATATCGCTTCTACCGTAGCTTATGATCGCCCCCAACAATTATATTCTTACTCAAGAACACCATGACCTCATCCCCCACATCAAACAACCGTACTCTCCTTCGTGGGTCAACATAGGCCTTGTACCTAGCATTTGCTTTCTCAATTCTCTTCTTTACCTCCATTTGAATTTCTTGAGCCTCTTTAGCCAACCTTTCGAGCACCAAAAGAAAAATTAGCAGATTTTGGCAATTTCACAAGATCAAGAGCATGATTTGGTACCTTGGTATAAACAATCGAAAATGGAGAACGACCAAGGCCATTATGAACGGCATTGTTATAGGCAAATTCAGCTTGTGCGATTAGAAAATCCCAACTTTTTGGCTTGTCACGACATATACATCTTACCAAATTTCCCAAAGTTCGATTTACGACCTCCGTCCGGCCATCGATTTGCGGATGAGCCGTGGTACTAAATTTAAGAGTAGAATCAAATAGTCCCCACAAAGTCCTCCAAAAGTGACTCAAAAATTTAGTATCATGATCGAAGTAATTGATTTAGGAACACCGTGAAGTCTCACCACTTCTCCGAAAAGAGCTTTGCGATTGCGGTAGCAACTGCTTGTCTCTTTACAAGGTAAAAAATATGCCATTTTTGAAAATTGGTCCACCACTACGAAGATAGAATCCATGCCTCTTTGTGTTCTAGGTAATCCTATCACAAAGTTCATAGACAAATCTTCCCAAATAGCATTAGGAACCAACAATGGCATGTACAAACCGAGCATTAGAAGCATGTCACTTGTATGTTTGGCAAGTTGTACACCTTTCTACAATGGAAACAATATCCCTTCTCATCTTTGGCCAATATTACCTCTTCTTTACTTCTTCAAGAGTTTTGTCTCCGCCAAGATGACCAGCTAAGCCTCCACCATGTAGTTCCCTAATCACCTTCTCTTTAAGTGATGTCCTTGGAAGGCAAAGTTGGTTTCCTTTTAGCAAAAATCCATCGTGTACATAGAAATCGTCATGGGCTTTTTTCTCTAAGCACAAATTCCATATTTCCTTGAAGTCTCCATCATCCCCGTACAATTCTTTTAAATATTCAAGACCCTCCACTTCCATGCTCATAGTTTTAATCGTGGCAACTCTTCTAGTTAATGCATAAGCCACGATATTTTTATTTCCAGATTTATGAACCAATTTGTATGGGAATTTATCAATAAAAGCCGACCGCCTAGCATGCATCTTCGTTCTCAATTGTTTCTAACTTCCTAAACACTTCGAGGCTTGATGGCTTGTGTATAAAATAAATTCTTTTCCAATCAAATAATGTTCTCAATTTTCAAAGCTCTCACAATAGCATAAAATTATTTATCATATGTAGCCTAATTTTGTCTTGCATCGCACAACTTCTCACCGAAGAAAGCAATTGGCCTCTTTTCTTGAGACAATACGACACCTATCCCGACTCCACTAGCATCACATTCCACTTCAAATAATTTATCAAAATCGAGCATAGCTAAAATAGGTGCGAGTACATGACTTCTCTTTGATAAGTGCAAAACTTTGCTATTGTTCTTCTCCCCATTTGAACCTTCCCTTCCTTAAGCACTTAGTAATAGGAGCCGCAATGCTACTAAATTTTTTGATAAAATGCCCGTAAAATGTTGCAAGCCCATGGAAACTTCTTACATCCCCAACATTTTTAGGTATAGGCCGATCCACTAATGGCCCTTACCTTCTCATCGTCAACTTCGATGCCATCCTTCCCTACAACAAAATCGAGGAACAACAAAATTTCAGCCATGAAAATACACTTCTTTAAGTTGGCATATAATTGGTTTTCCTCGGTACCCCAAACATGCTTTTTAAGTGATGAAAATGCTCTTCTTTTGACTCGCTGTAAATAAGGATGTCATCAAAATATACCGCCACAAACTCACTTGTAAAAGGCTTGAGAACTTGATTCATCAACCGCATGAAAGTGCTAGGGAATTGGTTAGCCCAAATGAAATCACCAACCACTCAAATAATCCATCTCTAGCTTTGAAAGCGATCTTCCACTCATCTTCCGACTCGATTCGAATTTGATGATAGCCACTTCTAAGATCAATTTTAGAAAAAATTATCGCCCCACTAAGCTGATCCAACATATCATCCAACCTTGGTATAGGAAATTTATACCCAATAGTAATTTTGTTGATGGCTCGGCTATCCACACACATCCTCCAACTCCCATCTTTCTTGGGCGTTAATAAAACAAGAACAACACATGGACTCGGGCTCTCTTTAATATATCCCTTTCTAATCAACTCCTCCACTTTCTCCCTCAAAATGTCATTCTCCTTTGGGCTCATTCGATAATGAGGTAGGTTAGGCAAGCTAGCCCCGGGAACTAAGTCGATTTGGTGTTGGATATCTCTCATAGGAGGCAAGTCATTAGGTAATTCATCGAGCACTACATCCGTAAATTCCTCTATAATGGGTTGTACCTATAAGGGAATTTTGTTTTCTTCCTTCTCACTTTCTTCTTCCCTTTTTATGATCAATAAGTGTACCTCCTCGGTCTCTTTCATTTCATTCACAAAACTTCCCCTGTTATTCTCTATTACTAATAATAGCTTCTTTCTCTTATTAGGCTTTGGTATTTTTTTTCCACCTATAGGTACCAGTTTATACCTTACTCCATCTTTCAAGATTCGATACATATTCTCCCTACCGGAGTGCGTTGCATCAACATCATATTGTCATGGCCTTCCTAACAAAATTTGGCAAGCATCCATTTCTACAACATCACAATAATGTTCATCCGAGTATTTACCGATAGAGAATGGTACCTTGCATCTTTCCGTGACGCGAATATCATCCACACTTGTGATCTATGCAATACTGTAAGGGTCCGGATGGGGTTCGGTTGGTAGCTTTAGTTTCGTACTCGTTGATTTACCGATGATGTTTTCTTGACTTCCTCCATCACCGATCGGCTCACAAACATGACCTTTAACCATGCATCTAGTGCGAAACAATTTATTTCTTTGTAAATTTTCATGTTCTTTCCTAGAAATCATCAACCTCCTAATGACACCCACAAAAGCATCTTCTTCATACAAATTATCACTTTCATCCCTATCGAGTCTACACTCTTCTTCCCCATATACTTCGTCGGTTTGCTCCACTTTATTACCAAATTTTCTTTTTGGACACTCATTAGAACGATGAACTTGTTCTCCATATTTATAGCACTTGAAATGAGCATGTTTAATATAAGGATTGGTGGACCTAGGAACTCGTTGTGATCTCGCTTACTCGGAATTTCCAATATTATTGATCCACTTCGTGGTGCCACGAGCGAGGGTGGGGATAACTTCTTTTCCCTTTTCACTTGGCATCCTTTCATGATTGGTCTCTCGTTCTTCTATAGTCCCTTGATTTTTGATTAATTAACATCTCAACCTTCATAGCTAAATTTCTCGCATCATGAACATTCAAAGCCATTTGAATACCAATCTTATCTCCGATCGTTGTATCCAAGCCTCACAGGTATCTCACAACTTGTTGTGGTTCGCTTTCCTTTAAGTTATTCCGGTCCGTCAATCTAAAAAATTTCGCTATATATTCATGGATACTCTTGTTTCCTTGTGCACAATTTTGATAAGAATCAAACAAGTATCGCTCATAATCCGGAGGTAAGAACCTTCTCCGCGATAGTTGCTTCATTCTTTCCCAAAAGACATAAGAGCTCGCCCTCTCTTCTCCTATTTTCTTTCAATCGAGTCCACCATAATGAAGCTCCTCCCTTCAATCTATAAGCAACCAATTTCACCTTCCTTTCTTTTAGGATTTACGTATAGTCAAAGAACCCATCCACTTCTTCTAACCAATCGAGGAAGCCTTCTATATCTAGGTTGCCATTAAAGTAGGGAATATCTACCTTCGGTTTGTATTCATGATTGCCCCCTCTTTGCCAATGACGATCCTCTCTCCGTATAACTTCGTCTTCGTCACTAGAGTCATCAATTCTCATAGCGAGAGCCGGAATTCGAAGTCGTTGTGCGGGGCGGCTTCCCGTCGGCTTGATCCCCAAATCTCTGGTTGTTGTCACCTTACAATAAAGCCTACAACTCGTCCCGTAATTATGGTTAGTTGTTGTTCTATATTGCGAATAGAAGTCCCATGTTCTTCAAGTCTCCTCCACACATCGGTTAATCCTTGAACGTCGTCGGTAGGATTATTGGCCATTGTCGATTGGACGAGCTTTGTGAGGTTCAAGGCTCGATACCACCCGACGTAGCGCGGAAGCAAAGTAAACAACGTAATTCCAAAACCCGAATTGCAAAATCGATTTTAAGAGAATCAAGTTTTATTGAATGAAAAATACTAAAAAAGAAGTGCCTAATAACATCATCAAAACCAAGTATTTATAGTCTTCGACATGCCCTAAAAATCAAGAAATAAAATAGTTATTCTACCCAAGATAGAAATCCTAAACAAAATAGAAGTCTAAGACAAAATAGAAGTCTGCTAATTTGAGGCAAAGAACTCTGCTATTTTGATGCCCCATCACTTATGTCCATCCATATTGCAGTAGGACTTAATTAAGTTAGCCCAATTAAATATGGATCCATTTATTATATGTACTTATTAATTAATAATTCTAAACAAATAAGGATCCAATGACCTAATAAATATGGCCATATATTTGGACACTTATTAAAGTAACCATGAGGAATAATATAATTAGCCCAAATTCAAATAATTAAAAAGACCTAAATTACAAACATAATTATTCAATCTAATAGTAGGACTTACATAAGCTAAGATAAGGTAGGATAAGATTAAAAAAAATATAGAATTTCCTGAAAGTTTGACCATGTTAAACTTTCGACCATGTAGAATTTTGAGAAGACATTCTTGTGTGAAATATTATTGTTTATAGTTGAAAGCATGATGAGCATCTAGATCACTTACAATAAGTCTTGATTGTTTTGAGAGAGAAAATATTGTATGCTAGCCTTAAGAAGTGCCACTTATATACTAAAAGAGTAATCTTCTTATGGTAATGTTGTCTTCGAGCAAGGGAATAGAGATGCATGATAACAAGGTCCAGGTTATTCTTAGTTGGTAAAAACCTATTACACTAACTAAGGTAAGGAGCTTCCATTACTTATTGTCTTTTTATCAAAGATACATCAACGGTTTCTATACTATCACCACCTTTATTACTTACCGAAGGTGGATAAGTTTGAGTGGACACTCGAAACTCTATAAAGTTTTGAAGCATTAAAGCCTAAGGTGATAAAAGCTCTTGTTCTGCTACTACTTGATTTATTAAAGGTATTTATGATGGATTATGATTCCTTTAATGTTGGAATTAGAGTTGCTTTCGGTTAGGAGGGACGATCTTTAGCTTATCTCAATGAGAAGTTAAATGAAATTAGGAGGAAGTAATCAATTTATGACTAGAATTATATGCCATAGTTAAAGCTTTAAATCTTTATTACCATTATTTATTGGCTAAGAAGTTTTTTTTTCATATCAATAAGATCTCAAATACCTATACAATCAAAGCAACTCGAAGGGTTGACATGCCACATGATGTGAGTTTTTATCTTCATTTAACTATGTTTTTAAGCATAAGTCTAGAGTCCTCGAACAAGATAGCTAATGCAATTAGTCGAAGGTATATTTTACTTCCTATCTTACAAGTTCTAGTTGTTGGGCTTAAAATGGTCATAGACTTGAAAGAGATGATGAGGATTTCAACACAATATGGTGAGTTTTTCTTCAAGCATTTTATGTTTATAAAGGTTATTATTTTTTTGTTTTTGAGAAATTCATTTATGTGCAGTTGAGATGTTCATTAAGAGAAAACATTTTGATTTAGTGTCATGACAAAAGTCATTACAAGAAAACCGAGGATTAGTGCCAAAAATTTACGACGGATGTAAAATCGTCACTATTTAGTGATGGTTTTGCAATAGAATGGTGACCAATATGAAATGTAAAGTTTAGAAACAAAATTGCGATGGAATTATGATAGAACATTAGTGATGGATAGTATTCAGTCATTATATCGTATGAGAAAAATATGCACTTAATCTAGCAATAGAATAACATCGCATTTGTGAAGGAAATTAGTAACAAAATAGCAATTCTATCATTAATTCACATTATTGGGTTAGTGATGATTGCTTTTCGATGCAAAGACTTAGGTTCCTTTATTAGTTAGCGACGAATACTTTTCATCGCTACTTTCTCTCATTTTTGAAAGTTTCAAAAAATGAAAGCGAGTAGTTTGAAATTCAAATTACTAACGGACACTTAAATCTCTTGCTACTTAGTGATGGACGCTTAATCCATAAATTGCCAAAATCCCTTCTTCCTACCTATTTTCTTTTTCTCTTCCCTCTCCTCCTCTTGTCTTTTTTTGTCATCAATCGTACATCTTTAAACCACCACACAACGTGACTCCACTCCCTCCCCGAGTATACGTACTAACCAATGCAATGCTCCTCTCTCCCTAAAAAGCCGAGAGTTTCATCCGTCTCCCTCCTCTCCTCCGATGTCTCCAAAGGTTAGCTCTCTCTCTCTCTTTCTCTCTCGTTGCTATTTTACACCCATTAGCTATTTGTATCAATTTTAAGTTAGTTTTGATTAATTAGTTGGTTAATTAGTTAATTTTTTGGTTTTGTTTAGTTGTTAGGATTTTTTATTAATTTAATTAGTTAATCTGAATTAACGTTAATTGAGTTATGTTAATTTCAAATAGGGTTAATTAGGGTTAATTTAAAATAGTTATTAGTTCATTGATTAGATTAATTTAATTTGATTGAATTGTATTATGTTAATTTGAATTTGAATTAGGACTAATTAGGGTTTATTTAAATTAGTTGTTAGTTAATTAATTAGGTTAATTTAAATTAGGTTTAAATGAATTATGTTAATTTTAATTTATTAGTTTAATTAATTTGAATTAGTGTTAATTAAGGTAGATTAATTTTAATTAGGTTAATTTGATTAATTATATGTTAAATGAAGTATGTTAATATTGATTCATTAGTATTAATTTCAATTAGTATTAAAAGAATTTAGGTCAATTTTAATTAATTATGTTTTTTTTTATTAAAGTTAATTTAGTTAGGTTTATTTTTGTCAAATTTGTTACATTTGAATTTTATTGTTAGGTTAACTAATAGTTATTTTAAATGTAATTAGGTTAATTTTTATTTATTTGTTAAGAGTATTTAAAATACAATTGATTTCAAATTTGCTTTGAATTGGAGTTATATAATTTAATTATTTATTTTATGATTGTTGTAGTGTGTTACGATACGTCATAACGTATCGAACTCGAGGGGTACGAGACTTCGGGAATTGAGAACAAATAAGATTAGTTCAATGCTTTACAATAGATTTGGGAGGACGAGTTTGAAATTTAATTTTAATGAATTATCCGAGATAAGTGTCGGTCTCGGTATTTACAAATTGATAGTTCGTTGATGTTTGTGTGATGTTGATTAATTGAAAATATTTACATAAATTGTGTATTTTATTTTGGAAATAGAAAACTGTCTAATTTATAAGGGAGATCTCGTAAAAAAAAATTACATTCATAGGAATGTTGATCAAGAATTTTTTGCATGTGTTGTGTAATTTTTACGAGACATTAAAAAAATGAGATTCGAACGGTAATGGATGGATGTTAAGTTAGTTGATAGATTGTTAAATGATGAGTTTGCTAAGATTGAATAATTTATTGCATTTGCTATTATTGATCTTGAATTTATGAACGGAACCAAAATAAGGTATCTTTAAAATCATAGTAAGTGTCAAAACAGAAATATGGAGATCTTAAATAATGTTTTCAATTGAGGAAGACCAATATGAAGATTAATGTGTACAAGGAATACCGTACTCTTTTTCAACCGAGGGAGACCAATATGGAGATGATTCACAAGATTAGAATGCATTGTCTTAGAGATCTTAAATAATGTTTTCAATCGAGGAAGACCAATATGGAGATTAATGTGTACAAGGAATACCGTATTCTTTTTCCTTCATTAGGATTTTTTTCCCACTGGGTTTTTTCCTATTAAGGTTTTAACGAGACACATTCCTTATACAATGAACATTTAAGGGGGATGCAATTGATTCATTATGAAATAATGAATGTCCATATGAATGTTCATCTACTTTTCATATCCCCACTACTCATGATTTTTAATGTGATGCAATTTATCATTTAATATGAGAAATTAAAAGGACGATGTAATTGATTCAACAATTTATGTATTTTTAATTATTCATATTCTCTTTCAATTATCTTCTCAATTTTGAAGCCTATAAATAGGTTTGATTGTTCATTAGTTGATATACAAGTTTTTTCAAGAGATTAAGAGAATAATTTGAAGTTCTCATCACTTGTATTCATTTTACAGTGAATTTTTTTTTATCATCTCTCTCTTCAATTCTTCTATTATTTTTATTTCTTTTATAACACATATGATATTTTAACAATATATTTATCAATGATGTCAGAAACTAATGTTTATTATGGTCATATTTTCAACATGTCAGAAAAGAAAACAAAGTCTCACCATTGAAAGCAAAAAAACAAAAAACAAAACAAAACAAAACTCCTGCAGCGTCCACCAAGTTTTTTGGTATAAAATCTGAATTTGGTTACCCAAGAGTGCTTATGACCTAATCTGTATGTCAATATACTCAATACAGTTCTAAAATTGTGAAAATGTTAGAGCTCCCGGAAATTCTATTGCATCCATACTCTCTAATTGCTTTCCTTCTTTTTATTTTTGTTACCAAATGGTTCTTCAGTACTACAGGGAATAAAAGCTTACCACCTTCACCATTAAAGATTCCTGTTGTAGGCAATCTCCTTCAGTTAGGCTTGTACCCACATCGATCTCTACAGTCTTTGGCTAAACGCTATGGTCCACTCATGCGCTTGCACCTCGGCAGCGCGCCTGCACTTGTGGTCTCGTCTGCTGATGGAGCTCGAGAGATCATGAGAACTCATGATCTCCTATTTTCAAATAGGTATGATTCAAGCATTGGAAGAAGACTTTTATATGACTACAAAGACTTGTCCTTGGCCCCCTATGGCGAGTACTGGAGGCAAATGAGGAGCATATGCGTCCTGCATCTTCTTACTCCAAAAAGGGTTCGGATATTCCAATCCATCAGAGAAGAGGAGACAGATTTGCTCGTACAAACCGTCG